GTCTTGCTAGTGGTCTATCAATTTTGTTGATCTTTTCAGAAAACCACCTCCTGGATTCATTGATTTTTTGGAGAGTTTTTTGTGTCTCTATCTCCTTCAGTTCTGCTCTGATCTTAGTTATTTCTTGCCTTCTGCTAGCTTTTGAATGTGTTTGCTCTTGCTTCTCTAGTTCTTTTAATTGTGATGTTAGAGTGTCAATTTTAGATCTTCCGTGCTTTCTCTTGTGGGCATTTAGTGCTATAATTTCCATCTACACACTCCTTTAAGTGTGTCCCAGAGATTCCGGCATGTTGTATCTTTGTTCTCATTGGTTTCAAAGAACATCTTTATTTCTGCCTTCATTTCATTATGCACCCAGTAGTCATTCAGGAGCAGGTTGTTCAGTTTCCATGCAGTTGAGTGGTTTTGATTGAGTTTCTTAATCCTGAGTTCTAGTTTGATTGCACTGTGGTCTGAGAGACAGTTTGTTATAATTTCTGTTCTTTTACATTTGCTGAGGAGTGCTTTACTTCCAACTATGTGGTCAATTTTGGAATAAGTGCAATGTGGTGGTGAGAAGAATGTATATTCTGTTGATTTGGGGTGGAGAGTTCTGTAGATGTCTATTAGATCTTGGTGCAGAGTTGAGTTCAATTCCTGGATATCCTTGTTAAGTTTCTGTCTCTCATTGATCTGTCTAATGTTGACAGTGGGGTGTTAAAGCCTCCCGTTATTATCGTATGGGAGTCTAAGTCTCTTTGTAAGTCTCTAAGGACTTGCTTTATGAATCTAGGTTCTCCTGTATTGGGTGCATATATATTTAGGATCGTTAGCTCTTCCTGATGAATTGATCCCTTTACCATTATGTAATGGCCTTCTTTGTCGCTTTCTATCTTTGATGGTTTAAAGTCTGTTTTGTCAGAGACTAGGATTGCAACCCCTTCTTTTTTATGTTTTCCGTTTGCTTAGCTCTTCCTCCATACCTTTATTTTGAGCCTATGTGTCTCTCTGCATGTGAGATGGGTCTCCTGAATACAGCAAACTGATGGGTCTTGACTCTTTATCCAATTTGCCAGTCTGTGTCTTTTAATTGGACAATTTAGTCCATTTACATTTAAGGTTAATATTGTTATGCGTGAACTTGATCCTGTCATTATGATATTAGCTGGTTACTTTGCTCGTTAGTTGATGCAGTTTCTTCTTAGCATCAATGGTCTTTACATTTTGGCATATTTTTGCAATGACTGGTACCGGTTATTCCTTTCCATGTTTAGTGCTTCCTTCAGGATCTCTTGTAGGGTAGGCCTGATGGTGACAAAATCTCTAAGTATTTGCTTGTCTGTAAAGGATTTTATTTCTCCTTCATTTATGAAACTTAGTTTGGCTGGATATGAAATTCTGAGTTGAAAATTCTTTTCTTTAAGAATGTTGAATACTGGCCCCTACTCTCTTCTGGCTTGGAGAGTTTCTGCCGAGAGATCTGCTGTAAGTCTAATGGACTTCCCTTTGTTGGTAACCCGACCTTTCTCTCTGGCTGCCCTTAACATTTTTTCCTTCATTTCAACTTTGGTGAATCTGACAATTATGTGTCTTGGAGTTGCTCTTCTCAAGGAGTATCTTTGTGGCATTCTCTGTATTTCCTGAATTTGAATGTTGACCTGCCTTACTAGGTTGGGGAAGTTCTCCTGGATGCTATCCTGCAGAGTGTTTTCCAACTTGGTTCCATTTTCCCCGTCACTTTCAGGCATACCAATCAGACATAGATTTGGTCTTTTCACATAATCCCATATTTCTGGGAGGCTTTGTTCATTTCTTTTTACTCTTTTTTCTGTACACTTCTCTTCTCGCTTCATTTCATTCATTTGATCTTCAATCACTGATAATCTTTCTTCCAGTTAATCGAGTTGGTTACTGAAGCTTGTGCATTTGTCATGTAGTTCTCGTGTCATGGTTTTCATCTCTATCAGTTCTTTTAAGGTCTTCTCTGCATTGATTATTCTCGTTATCCATTCATCCATTCTTTTTTCAAGGTTTTTAGTTTCTTTGTGCTGGTTACGTAGTTCCTCCTTTAGCTCTGAGAAGTTTGATCGACTGAAGCCTTCTTCTCTCAACTCGTCAAAGTCATTCTCTGTCCAGCTTTGTTCCATTGCTGGCGATGAGCTGCGTTCCTTTGGAGGGAGAGATGCGCTCTGATTTTTTGAATTTCCAGCTTTTCTGCACTGCTTTTTCCCTGTCTTTGTGGTTTTATCTGCCTTTGCTCTTTGATGATGGTGACATACTGATGGGGTTTTGGTGTGGGTGTCCTTTCTGTTTGTTAGTTTTCTTTCTAATAGCCAGGACCATCAGCTGCAGGTGTGTTGGAGTGTGCTTGAGGTCCACTCCAGACTCTGTTTGCCTGGGTATCAGCAACAGAGGCTGCAGAAGATAGAATCTTGCTGAACAGCGAGTGTTGCTGTCTGATTCTTGCTCTGGAAGCTTCATCTCAGGGTGTACCCAGCCATGTGAGGTGTGAGGTGTCAGTCTGCACCTAGTGGGGGATGTCTCCCAGTTAGGCTACTCAGGGGTCAGGGATCCACTTGAGCAAGCAGTCTGTCCGTTCTCAGATCTCAACCTCCCTGCTGGGAGAACCACTGCTCTCTTCAAAGCTGTCAGACAGGGACTTTTACATATGCAGAGGTTTCACCTGCTGTTTGTTTAGCTATGCCCTGTCCCCAGAGGTGGAGTCTACAGAGGCAGGCAGGCCTCCTTGAGGTGCAGTGGGCCCCATCCAATTCAAGCTTCCTGGCAGGTTTGTTTGTCTACTTAAGCCTCAGCTATGGTGGGCACCCCTCCCCCAGCCTCGCTGCCACCTTGCAGTTAGATCTCTGACTGCTGTGCTAGCAATGACTGAGGCTCTGTGGGCATGGGACCCTCTGGGCCAGGTGTGGGATATAATCTCCTGATGTGCTGTTTGCTAAGACGTTTGGTAAAGCGTAGTATTAGCGTGGGAGTTACCCGATTTTCCAGGTGTTGTGTGTCTCAATTTCCCTTGGCTAGCAAAAGGAATTCCCTTCCCCCTTGCACTTCCCAGGTGAGACGATGCCTTGCCCTGCTTCAGCTCTCACTGGTTGGGCTGCACCCGCGGACCAGCATCAACTGTCCGACACGCCCCAGTGAGATGAACCTGGTACCTCAGTTGAAAATGCAGAAATCACCTGTCTTCTGGGAGACGCGTGATGCTGGGAGCTCATGCTAGGAGCTGGAGGCTGGAGCTGTTCCTATTCAGCCATCTTGGGTGCCACTCAGTTCACTTTAAGTTTTTTCTGTGAAACTTTCCTGAACTTTCTCCCCCTTAGCCCCACCATGAGTCCCAAGCAAGTTAATTATTTCCCAGCTTGGAAGTTCCCAGAAAAATCTATAACAGCACTTGTCTCATTGTATTGTTATAGTTGTTATCTTGTCTGCTTCCCCCAGTAATTGTGGGAACATAAATTCTGGTTTCTTTTCCTAAACCAGTGTAATTCTTGAATTTAGCATAAATATTTGAAATATCAAAATTTAAATAAATGCTCAGGAGAAACAAATCATTAATGAGTGAACATAGTAACAAATTGTCACTAGAAGTGTTAGGAAGACAGGTATATGTTCATTGGTGATATTATAGAAGGAATTTTTGGTGGCAAAATGTAGATGACCATATAAATCCCCTCCTAAGAGCCTATGATTCTATACCCTGGATGTTATGAAATAATAATAATAACATTGTTGTGAGACATTTATCATGTTTTCATGCTTTCAGTAATTTATTCTGAGGAATTTTTAAGCTTTTTTTTTCCTTTTCTTTTCTTTTTGTTTTGTTTTTGTTTTTGTTTTTGTTTTTTTGAGATGGAGTTTCACTCTTGTTGCGCAGGAGGAGTGCAGTGGCGAGATCTTGGCTCACTGCAACCTCTGCCTCCCAGGTTCAAGCGATTCTCCTGCCTCAGCCTCCTGAGCAGCTGGGATTACAGGTGCCCGCCACCATGCCTGGCTAATTTTTTGTATTTTTAGTAGACATGGGATTTCACAATATTGGCCAGGCTGGTCTCAAACTCCTGACCTCAGGTAGTCCACCCACCTCAGCCTGCCAAAGTGCTGGGATTATAGTCATGAGCCACCACACCTGGCTGAATTTTTAAGCTTTTAATACACCTGGTTACAGCCAATTCCCTAAGTACCGAGAAAAAAGAGAGAGAGAGAAAAAAAAAAAAGAATGTAGAAGTAGGCTTAGGAAACTATGCAAGGTTTTAGCCATCAAAGTTACTCTGGCATGTTTCAGATCCCATAAACAAAACTGACCTCAACTTGGCAGCCCCTGCACCCTAAATTATGAGGCTGAAAAGAAAGCCAACACTCACTCTAATTAGGATAATAACCAGCTGTTAGAAATGAGCAACTGAGCCTAGAGAGGGTACACTGCCAGCCCAATTTTTAAATAGCAGGAAGTTCATTAAAATAATAAGAAAAGAGTGATAAGACACTGATATATTGTTCCAGCTAGTCCTGGGAGGTAGAAAGATCTGGCCTCAGATAGATGTATCTGTCCAGATGTTGGGTTTAAGGTTACAAACGTCTGCAAATGTGGGAGTAAATGATAATGATTAGAAAAGAAATTAGGAAAAAATAAAGCCTCAGAAGAGGAAGGAGCTGGGGCAGCCAATGATCTGTCATCTGCCAAAATGTAGAGTTCAGTTTGTATTTTAAGGTCGGGAAGGGAGCTTTTAGATCAGTTATTAGTTAGTGGATACTATTTCTGGGTGCACATTAAAATCTCCTAGATGCTTCTAAATAATTACTGATACTCAAGAACCAAAACAAGGAATTCTGAGGTACTAGGTCTGGACTGGGGTCTAGGTCTCAGGGTCATTAATTTGCCCAAGAGCACCCAGCTTTTAGTTAGTTGCAGGCTAACTAACTAACTGGTCATTGTTGGTATCTGAGTGTACTGACTCCCAATTTAACACATGCTTTCTTCTGCCCTCTACAGGGACCACTCCCTGATATGCTGCAGATGCAATTGAGCAGCAGCTTCATTCCACATTTCCGCAACATCTTTCATGGTGAGTTCAAGAGCATATTCAAAACCATGTGCAGCTTAGTCCAACTGGAGAGACCAAGTCAAAGAACTTCATTTCCATAAGGTAGAATCTTGTCCATACCTCTTCACTCACATCACAGACCAGTCTTGCAGAAGCCAGGAGGTTCTGAGTAAGGTCTGCATAACGAAATAATTCCATAGTTTCCAATTGGCCAATTTCGTTCTCTAACCAAACAGCTGCTGCCTGCTTACTGAGTGTGCATGCCCACACACACTCCTACTGACTGTAACTCACCGTCAGCTGTAACCAGGCAGTTCTCTCAAGCCATCTGCAGCTGGACAAAAACCTAGAATGATTAAGTCACTGATATAATACCACTTTCCTGAAAATAGCAATACTTAAATACATCTAATCCTGACCAATACCTTGATATTCTATATCATACATTTAAAAATCAAGTTGCCTAATTATTTTAAATATATTCCAAATGAACAAAAACACATTGTAACTCCAAATCACCATGTTACCACCACTATGGCATGGAACCTTCCTGTCCACTCCAGAAGACAGTATGGTATGGAACCTTCCTGTCCACCTGTGTCACAGCCTGGAGACACTTAGGCATCCCCCGGGACAGTCCTAGGGCTCAGCTGTGTTGTTTCCATGTCTCAGTGATCACTTTTCTTTGTTGCCCATATTTTGTCTGGTTTTCTAGTTGCTCCAGACAGAGTTAACTACAGTCCTTAGTACTTTGTTTTTCCTGAAAGTAGAAGTCTTTCAACTAAAGAAGAGTAGATATTAAATGTATCATTTTCAGAATTTGATGAGAAAGTAAAATTGCTTCCTCACTGTCCTCACCGGATTCACAGGGGGAAATGATTCAGAGGCTTTCGCCTTTACCTCCCAGAGCATGTTTGTGCAAGTGTTGGGCTAGTCTTATCTGGTCAAGCTCTGTTACTAACAGAATGTCTAGTTATTTTGCAGGTACAGAGTTAAGAAATGGCAAGTTATGCAGCCAGAGCACACACAGAAGAAAACTTCGACCTCAAATAACACCTAGAACCAAAGTCTCTACCGCAGAACTCAAGATTGGGACATGGCTGGAGCTCCAGCACCTAAACACTTTGAAAAGTGAGCAGTTCGTTTCCTAGGAATGTTCACTGATAAGACCCTTCCCCTTGCCTTACCATAAATAGTCTTACTTAAAGTCCTTCCAATAATCAAAACCTGCCCTGCCGGTGCTTCTGCATACCAACCTACCCTCCTCAACTGACAAAACTTGCCCCAAATCCAAGATTAGAGAGACAGATTTGAGTTATCCTCCTACCTTCTTATAGGTGGACCTCACAACAAATCCTTTCTTTCCTCAAAAACTGGTGCCATATCATTGGCTTCTATGTGCATCAGACAGCAAGCCCGTTGCTCAATAACATTCTGACTACTAAATTTCCTCAGTTCTAAGATGTCAATTGCAAGACACATTTTTCATCTACAAGTCATTTTAGAGGGTTTGGTGAGAAACCCAGCACACTGAATGTACACCAAATTGTAAGGTGCATCTTTATTTCAGAAATATTAGCTTATTAACAACTACTCATCTGAAAATTGAGGAAATGTGATTTCCTTTTAACTGTGAATTTTTGTTACTTATAACAAAACTTCCCTTGTTGCAAATAAACCCGTAGAAGGGATAGCGTTGCTGATATGGGAAACAGACATGATACAACTCTAAGATCCCAAACCTTCTAAATGGTGATCAGATCAGTATGAGTACTTTAGTCATGTTGTGGATAAGAGAAACTTCTGTGGACCTTTCTAAGGTCCCTATCTGATTCTCTATCAGTCATGTTGTGGATAAAAGAAACTTATGTGGACCTTACTAAGATCCCTATCTATTCTCTATCTATTTATACAGCATTCTTTGAGTGAAAAAATTGTTTCCAGGCAAAGAGAAAATAACCTTCTTTCCTGATCCTCTAGAACTCTCTTGGTTACTTTGGTGACAGTGTCTGGAGTACATGAAAGAAGGGAATTCATGATACAAAGAGGATTTCACTCCCATCTGTTAGACTGGTGGTTCTCCAGTACATCAGAATTACCTGGAGGGGATGTTACCACACACATTTTGGATCCCACTCCAGAGTTCTAGATGTGGTTAAGGCAGAGATGGGACCCCAGTATTTGCATTTCTAACAAGTTTCCAGGTGATGCTAAGGCAGCCAGTCCTGGAACCTCACTTTGAGAATCACTGCTGTGGAGGCTTATTGGCCACAGGCTTCATGGTTTGCAAGAGGATAGAACTCCCTGTCTTGGGAACATCCCTCTTTTAGATTTGGTGTTAAGCATAGGTTGACCTTTGTATGGATAAGGCATTTGTAAGTCAGATGTTTCCATCCTTAAGGACCCATGATTATCTATCCTGCAGTTTTAACACAGTTTACCTATTTGCTTGTTTTGTTGTTGCTGTTGTTGTTTTTAAAGAATGAGTTTAAGATGATCATCTTCCATTACTAAACTTCAGAGGAAAAAAGTATAGGCTGCTTTTACCCAAGAGAAGAGAGGATGCTTAGCCAATTATCTCTTCTAATCGTTTTTCTTTTTATTATCTTGTCATTCAATAATCAATAGCCAGTGAAGAAAAATGAAAATTGCTGACTCCTGGAAGTTAAGAGTATTTTTATTATTACATACTGTTCATGACAGTTTTTAACACAAATCTCATACAGTAACAAAGAATCCCACTGGCTCTGTATAACCCCTAAATTGTAGGAAGAAATAGACAACTGCAGGAGATTCGAAACCCACACATTTCCCTTACCTCCTCTCTGCAGGGCTTTGCCTTCCAGTTTCTACTTGGCCTTCCAGCGTCAGACAGCTTCTTGCACCTGACCCATCCAGCTGAGGATACAGATGTCCAAAAAATAAATATAGAATTCAAGACAAATTTACCAATATGTTATATTTGCTGTGGTTGCTTTATAGATTTTTTAAAATTGTTGGTCCAATAAAAGGTCTGAAATTTAAGTCTTCTCCTGGTTTTGAAGCATTTTTTGGTAAGTAGTTTTCATACCTTGATGTATATCAGAATCACCTGGGTGGTGGATCTGGAAATGTGTATTCTTAAAGTTGGTGTTTTTATTAATAGACTTTATTTTTTAGAATAGTTTTAGACCTACAAAAAAATTAAGGCAATAATACAGAAGATTATCCACACACACACACAGAGTTTCCCCCATTAACACTTACATTAGTATGGTACATTTTTTGCAATTAAGGAATGGATATTAATATATTATTATTAACAAAAGGCAATAGTTTATTTCAGTTTCCTTAGATTTTACCTAATGTCTTTTTTCTGTTCTAGAATCCAATTCAGGATCCCATATTGTATGTTTAGTTATTATGTCTCCTTATGCTCCTCTTGGTTATGACCATTTCTCAGATTTCGCTTGTTTTTGGTGATCTTGACAGTTTTAAGGAGTACTGTGAAATTCAAGTGTTTTGTAGGATTGCCCTACATTGGAATTTGTCTGATGTTTTAGTCTTGGGTTATAAGTTTGGGGAAGGAGGATCACAGAGGTAAAGAACCACTGTCATCATAGTTTATAAAGGGTACATGTTATCACATGACTTATGGATGTGGTTGACCTTGAGCATTTGGCTTCTGTAGTACTAGACAGATTTCTACGTCGTAACGTTACTCTTTCATTTCCCCTTTCCATAACGTATTCATTGGAAGGAAGTCACTATATGCAGCCCACACCTAAGGAATGGGGAGTTATGCTTCCCCTCCTTTAGGATGGAGTCTACATAATTTATTTGGAGTTTTCCCGCATAGGAGATTTATCTCCTCTCCATCATTTATTAATTTATTCAATAATTTCTTTATATCGGTATGGACTCATAGATATTTATTTTATACTTTGGGTGATACTCTCAAGTGACTTTATTTATGCTGTTTCTCAAAATATGCTAGCTTTGGCCAGTAGGAGCTCTTTTAGTTAGCTCATGTATACTTTTGACATACCCCATCTGTGTGTGTGTGTGTGTGTGTGTGTGTTATTTACTTACCTTCTGGCACTACAGAATGCTCTAGAGTCATTTCGCATAGTCACTGCCCCAGTCCTAGAATCAACCATTTCTCCAAATAGCCCTGGTGCCTTTTATTGAAGAATAGTATAAGAAACCAAGATTTCAGTGCTCGGTGTGCTCCTTACTACTGGATGTCATTTCTTTTACACCCTGTTAGCTCACAGAGCAAAGAAATATATGTGTCTATGAGAAGTTGTGTGTGTAAATATACAGGAGTATGGCTGCATGGAAACACATGTATCTACATTAAGTTAAACATGAGTTCTTACTGATGTCACCAACTCTAGTCCATTATCACGTGGGTCATTCTCTCACTTATCTATCATCTTCCACTCAAACAGTAAGAAACCTGGCTCCCACCATCTGCAAATTCTTTTACAAAAAATTATTTGTCAAATTCCAGCAGACATGTATAGCAGTCTCAGAATTGTTAATACTTACTTCCATGACAAACAACTTTTTAAAATAAAATACACTACTTAATGTGCCTTTAGCCTTACACACTCCATCCATTTCCAAAGTTACCTAGGTCAGCGCCTTTTCCCCGCTTCGGGGAATTAAATATTATTATTATTATATATATAATTATAATAAGAATGTTATTAGTATTATTTGTTTTTTGAGATGGAGTCTCACTCTGTCTCCCTGGCTGGAGTGCAGTGGCACAATCTTGGCTCACTGCAAACTTCGCCACCTGGTTTCAAGCAATTCTCCTTCCTCAACCTCCTGAGTAGCTGGGATTGCAGGTGGCTGCCACCACGCCCAGCTAATTTTTGTATTTTTAGTAGACACAGGTTTCATCACATTGGCCAGGCTGGTCTTGAAGTCCTGACCTCAGGTGATCCACCTGCCTAGGCTTCTCAAAGTGCTGGAAGTGAGGGCATTTTACACATTTATAATACAATTAGATTCTCTTGTCATAGTCTGCATTTTTTCCTGGGATCTCTGACCTCCTAAATTACTTTTTAAATTTGCATACATTAAAAGTTTTTTACGTTGTAAAGTCATATGGGTTTTGACAAATGCATAATATCATGTGTACATTGTCACAGTATCATACAAGATAGTTTTACTGCCTTAAAACATCCCTATATTTCATGTGTTCATGCTTTCTCCCACCCCAAGTCCCTGACAAACCACTGATCTTTTTATTGTCTATATAGATTTGTCCTTTCCAGAATGTCATACAGTTGGAATGAGAAAGTAGTCTTTTTAGACTGGCATATTTCACTTACCTATATGCATTTAAGGTTCCTCCATGTCCTTTTGTAGTTTGATAGCTAATTTATTTTTATTGCTAAATGATATTCCATTGTATGGATCTACCACAGTTTGGTTATCCATCCATCTATTAAAGGACATCTTATTATTTCTTATTATTTCTAGGTTTTTACAACTATAAGTAAAGCTGCTATAAACATCTGCATGCAGGTTTGTGAACATAAACCTTTCAACTCAATTGAGTATGATAAGATTATGTTTAGCTTTGTAAGAAACTGCCTGTCTTCCAAAGTGGCTTTGGAAGTACCATTTTGCCTTCCCACTAGCAATGAACCAGAGTTTCTGTTGCTCTGCATGCTCACCAGCATTTAGTGTTATTGGGTTTGTTTTTAAAAAGATATTAGTCACTCTAATGTATGTGTAGTGATATACCATTGTTTTAATTTGCAGTTCCCTAATGATGCATGATGTTAGAGCATCTTTTTATGTACTTCTTTGCATATATTCACTTTGGTAGTGTCTGAAAATGTGTATTTTTTAACAATCTTTCTGAATGATTCTAATGAAGACCAAAATTAAAGGGCCATTATTCCAGACTCATCATTTGCCACTCATCTCAACTTAGCCACTTGTCTCCAATTATAGCATCTTAGATACCAACAGGGACACTTTCCCCTTTACCTCACTTCACAGCCAAACATTTTGGTCTTTACATTTTCACCACTTACTTAGAATGAGCAATCTATTTGAATAGGAGGGTGATCTATTCTCAAAGGCCTAAGAGGGAGGTAAACATGAGGATGCCTATGTCTGAGGATGGGCTAAAGTTTATACTTGCAGCTTATGGACTCACTAATTTTTACAATTTGATGAATTCTTACTCACCAAAGTTTGATTCTATGGGCCACGGTCATCTGGTCCACCTGTCCAGGGTCTCCCCAGGTGAGGATATAGGGTGCCATAATTTTTGACTCACAATTCAGAATACATGATTTTTCTATGAAATTATAGGTATTTAATAAATGAGAATGCTTAAGTCCATTTGTAAACAGCATAGCACACAATTTAGAATAAGGCTTAAAACTCCAGTAGAAAACAAGTGGTTTCACTATAAACATCAATCGTTGGACATTGACCACTGATTCCAGTGCTGTTTCTCTTTTTTCTTCTAAGAAGAAACTTTCTACTTTCTTTCATGCTTCAGATGTTTGAAATCTCAGGGCCTGTGCAACCCACAACTTCCTGGAGACATCACTTCCTACACTGTTCTCAGGAGCTTCAGAGCATTTTATTGTTTTAATAAAGAAAGGGTCCTTTACCTTCTTAACTCTCCTGATCACACAACCGGGTGCTCTTATAGGTACCCAGGTCCTTCTGGAGGGGATTAGTAGTTCTGTTCGCCTCATATTTCCTGTTTACTCTCTTTGAAAGTTCAGAACAATCTTCATCATCATCACCTGGTTATACTATGGATACCTAAACATCTGCAGGTATCATTAACGGCCTTTTTCCTGCCCCCTAAAAAGACAGGGAGGGTTTGTATCCTTGCCAAGCAAGTTCCTGCTCTCTCAGTTACCATCTCCCATGTTTGGCAGCTCTGGGGAGCTGTGATAATTTTCACATTAATTTCCTAAAATCACCTAGTAATTAGCCTTCCTCTAAAACCACCTCTGGGTTGTTGTTTTTATTCCAGATTTTGACCAGTAATTCATTAAAATCTGTTTCTAACCTCTCCCAACTTTTAAATAGGCTTACAATAGAAACATTCTCTGTGATTATAATGTAGTTTCTTCACAAGGTCTTAAAGAATCCAGCAAAGGAAAGCAAGGCTATACCTACTGCCTTTCCCTAAGGAAGATAACCCATCTTCTTTCTTTTTTGTCATAGGCCTTGGTTTATGGGCAAATCCATTTGAATGGGAACTATATTTATCTATATGCTCCATATTATGTATTCAGTTTGGGCTCACTGTGAGAAACGTATATATACCTGTCAATTTATGACAATCGGTTATTCTTGGCTGCAATGCTGATTTAAGTGATGACCTTCCTCAAGTCTCATAGATGCTCATCTTGTAAAAATACTAGCCTCCTTAAATAGAAACACTGTGGGGATTAACTAATAGGTTGTTCTGAAAGTGTCAAGGTCTATAAACATTATTAATGTGTTAAATTATAAATATACATGTTGAAATAAGCAAGTCCTTGATTTTAAACTCCAAAAGAATGCTAGTTTGAATAGTTTAATGTTGTTACCCCAGTGTAACACTAGATTTTTTTAAAATCTAAGACTACATTTTGCCCAAGACTATGGCCAATACACACCAAATTGGGTTTTTGTTATTTTGTTTTAATTACCTTTAATATTCCCATTGAAGAATTTTCCAGAATCCAATACTAGGCAATCTTAAAGATCATCATACTTTTACCCAGAGTGGGGTTATAATTTTATAACCACTTAAAAATCTCGTCATTCAACCTCCCATTAAACTCTAGAATAGCATTCTACTTCATATGAACACCCTTTCAAGTGTGTAGTGAAAGCTAATTGTTAGAAACGTCTTTCTGTAAACTGAGATGAATTCCATCGAATTCCTAATCTCTGGTCTGTGTTCTAGAGCTAAATCTTATCACTCTTCTCCATGACAGCCTTTTAACTATTTGATGACAGTCATCAGAGCCACACGAGTGTTTTTTTTCTCACAGCCCCCA